GGCCAAAATGGCCGACCCTAGTTTTATATAGGAATATATACGAAAAATCTTTTAAAAATCTTCTTCTCAAGAACCACTAGGACAGGAAAGATGAAACTCATGTGGAATCATCCTCAGGTAGTGTATATTCAAGTTTGATTCAAGTTTGTTCAAATCATGACCCCCCTCAGGGCAAGGGTGGGGCCAAAATGGCCGACCCTAGTTTTACCTAGGAATATATAAGAAAAATCTTTAAAAATCTTCTTCTCAAGAACCACTAGGACAGGAAAGATGAAACTCATGTGGAATCATCCTCAGATAGTGTAGATTCAAGTTTGTACAAATCATGACCCCTGGGGCTAGGGTGGGGCCAAAATGGCCGACCCAAGGATATATAGGGAAACCTTTTAAAATGGCCGACCCAAGGATATACATGTATAGGGAAACCTTTTAAAATCTTCTATTCAAGTACTTCAAAGCTATGATTAGTGATATTTATATGGAATCATCCTCAGGTAGTGTAGTTTCTAGTTTGTTCAAATGATGAACGCCTGGAGGGGGGGGGGGAGTAAATTCAAGCCTGATGTGCTCAGGTGAGTGCTGTGGCCCCTGGGCCTTTTGTTTATATACAAATAAATGTTAGACTACTTGTCATTAATCAATTGGGTACAGAAAAAGCAAAGTGATTGGCTCATAAGCACGGCTCTTCTAGTTACTGGCTGTAACAGCTCAGCTCTTATGATTTCGTTTTTAACAGGGTCTTACAGCTCGGCTCTTACTGGCTCCCTCTGTAGCTTTCTTGATAATAAATAATATCTAAAGCACAGGCCTTCAGATCGCTTAGAAAAAAATTCAGGTGTTGAAAAAAAAATAAAAGTATGGAACTCTTTTCATGGGATACCTACTTTCGCCAATAAAATTCTTTTAAATTAAATGCTTTAAAATTTTACTTTATTTAAATACATGTATAAACAATCTTCAATACAACCAAAGTTCATTCCGTAATTCCTTATATTTCTCGAGATATTCTGAAATCAATTCCCAAATTGACCCTAATTTTTTTATTCGACATCAGCTTGGGCCTTCACTAATTGTAAAGCGGGAACGACGGGACAAATTTTCCCCGGAATTTATTCTAAACTTATTGAATATTTGCTCATTTGCATTCGAGCTTTACAAGGTTTTTCTTTAATTTGATCAAATTGTGTAACTAAGTTACAAACAACATTTTAGCAGTCTAATTGTTTTGAAAATCGAAAGGTATATAAGGCATTCCGGGAAAAATTTGTTCTACCATAGCTTCATTTACATTCATAATCAACATGGCGGTAGTTGTTGATGTAGACGTTTTCAAATTAATTTTTCGCGAAAAGAATATTATTACGGACTTAACGTAACAATCTGGCGTAAGAAATCAACTTTAAATTGTTGAAAGATTTTGCAAATACTATGCAACTCTTCGCCGCACTTCAAACACCGTCTATTTACATGTGAATGACCAGGGGCCAAAGCTAATGTCGAGTAACAGAAGTTTTTGAAATTGATTTCAGAATATCTCAAGAAATATATGGAATTTCGGAATGAGCTTTGGTAGAATATAAGAATGTTTATCTATGAATAGATTTAAATAGAAAGTAGAATTTTAGAGTATTACAATAAAAAATATTTTATTAGCGAAATTAGGTACCCAGCGTAAGAGTTCAGTACCAAAAACCTGTGATCTAAAGCCAGGTAAGACTTATTCAGTCAGGTCTAAAGCTTTAAAATTAAGCTGTTGGCCCTGCTAACGATCTAGTCCTATCGGAAGCCATTTTAATCGACTTCAAACATTGATTTGTCAAAACAACACCCAGTTAATTGTTTACACCTGCACTGATAATTAATCCATCGGCATTGTTTACGTAGATCTAAGCTTGGGTTGTAACTGGAAGTTAAAAGTGCAACCTAATTTACGAACCAAATCCGGAAATCGGGAGATTTCTGGGTTGTTCGGCAAAAATCTGATAAGCATGACCCGCCGGGTCATAAAAAATAATCGGGTTACGGGTTGAAAAATCGGGTGTGACCCGACGAAATCGGGTGAGTTAGCAACTATGCTTTAAATATTTTTATTCTTTTAAGAAAAATATTACCTTCTTATTATCAATTGATAGCCACTTGTGTTCTCACTTCTGCTTCAACTTTGCAACTAATTCAAATCCACCGCTTCACCTGTATTTATAATCTCTGTGCCAAATGACGCCACCTAGCTGAACATTACTATAAAACAAGACTTGTACCGGAATAACTTTTCCTGGATTGTCTCATTTTTTAAGTAATAAACTTGTCATTAAAAGTCAAAGTATGATTATAAATGAAGTTTTTATCTGACTTTCACTATTTTTTTAACAAAGTAAGTCAATCTTGAAATTTATTCATGTTCACTTTGAGGTGAACTCTATTTTGGTTTTCGGACAGGAAATAAACTTTCAGGGGCGTAGCAACAGGGTGGGGGGCATGGGGGGCCTGCCCCCCACTTTTTTTCCAACCTTACCTATGCTATAAAAAATGTTAATTGAAAGCCTGTTTGACCCCACCACTTTTAGTGATGTACCGAAACTGTAGTATTAGAATTGGTATTGAGATAGTTGATACTGAGAAAAAGTTTACCTCAACCCCCCCCCCCCCCTCCTCTGGCGAAATAGGATTTTCGACTTTGAGCAACTTTTCCCTTTCTTCCTCTGTTTCTTTCTTTTTTTCTTTTTTGCTTGTCAACTTTTTCAGGTAAGTAAAAAAAAATTCTCTGGCTGCCCCCCCTTCAAAAACAATTCTACGCGCCTGCTTGTGTACATGTTGAACGAAATTTCATGAATAAAATACTTAAGTTTTTTTCAGGACATAGTTCAAAAACAAGAATATAAATTTGTATCATCTTGACAATGAAGTAAGCAAACAATTCACATTGCTTACAGTTTTTTCTACGTACGTGTTGGCTGCCATATTGAATATGAATGAGCCAAAGAAATACGAACGCTAACTCTGGATTCCTGCCTACATTTTGGAACCATTTAATTTAAAATAGATATCAATTTGGCCATAAAATGTTTGTTTAATACAAAGAACAGTTCAATGGTAATTGATGAATTGTCTTGGTACCAGTGCTAAACAGCAAGTTATTCATAATTCCATGTCTTGAAAAAAGAAAGGTAGACGATATTTTCCATTGAAATCGGATTTTCAATCATCACCAAATTAAAAAAAAGTCTTGGATATGATTAAATGTTCTTTATATCTTTTCTTATGTTTTAGGCAAAACAATAAAACTTACCTGGTAAATATATCAATAAAATATAACAGTTGCTTAGTTTGGTTATTGAATACCCAAAGGCAGGGTAGGGGAGCAAAAAATGCATGTCAACTAATCAGTAGTGCCCCTTTCACACATGAACCCCTGACCCTTAGGCCTAGATCCAAACATTGCACAATTGCATCCTTGCTTTTCAAAAATATTTGATTAATACCAAGGAAAAGATTTTAAACAATTCATTAATTTTTAGTATCCCCCCCCCTTGTCTATGGTACCCCTGACCCAGGGGCCTTGAAATTCACAATACTGGAAGATTAGGACCCTTGCTCATCATAACTATATAGGTATATTCACCTGCTTAATACCTAGGAGCAGAAAGGAAAATTTTCAAACAATTCATGTATTTTCACTATAATATCAATAGAGCCCCGCCCTAACAACAGAAACCCAACCCTGGGGCCATAAAATTCGCAATTTTGGAAGAGGCATTCTTGTTCATCATTACTATAGTATATACTTAGTTAGTTTATTTAATACCTAGGAGCAGAGAAAAAAATCAAAGAATCCATATATTTTCACTATATAATCAATAGAGCCCTGCCCTAACACCAAAACCCCTGACCCTGGGGCCATAAAATTCACAATTTTGATAGAGGCGCTCTTGCTCATCATTACTATGCACTTAGTTTATTCATTTAATACCTAGGAACAGAGAAGAAGATTTTTAAAGAATTCATGTATTTTCACTATATAATCAATAGAGCCCTGCCCTAACACCAAAACCCCTGACCCTGGGGCCATAAATTCACAATTTTGGTAGAGGCACTCTTGCTCATCATAACTTTGCACTTAGTTAGTTTATTTAATACCTAGGAGCAGAGGAGAAGATTTTCAAAGAATTCATGTATTTTGACTATATAATCTATAGAGCCCCGCCCTAACACCAGAATCCCTGACCCTGTGGCCATAAAATTCACAATTTTGGTAGAGGCACTCTTGCTCATTAAAACTATGCACTTAGTTGGTTTATTTATTACCCAGGAGCAGAGAAGAAGATTTTCAATGAATAATGCATTTTCACTATATACTTATTTAGCCCCGCCCTAGCACTAGAACCCTTGACCCAAGGGCCATGAATTTCTCAATTTTGGTAAAGAACTCAATGTTGATAACAATCATGCAAACAGTTTGACTGCTTGGTGCCCAGGAGTAAAGAAGAAGATTTTCAAAGATTGCACTAATTTTAGTGGTTTTGGCCCCACCCCTCAGGCCCCAGTGGGGCAGGGATCATGAAATTCACAATTTTTGTTCTCCTTTACCCATAGATGCTTTGTGCCAAATTTGGTTGAAATTGGTTCAGTGGTTGCAGAGAAGAAGCTGAAAATGTTCAAAGGTTAACGCACAACGCACGACGACGGATGAAAATCTAAAAATTGACTTGGAGGTAGGCGGAGAACAATACTATTGTTAGCAGTTCTTTGCTCCAGTGGGCCTTGAAAAATCCGTGTGGTGAACAAGAACGGTTGAATACTTGCCTGCATGTGATATACATTTTTAGTTGTACAACCAAGGAAGTATTGTGGCATATTTCTGCCCCCTACATGCAAGATAAATTATGTTAACATGTAACATAATTATGTAGCCATGCAACATTTTTATGTCAACATGTAAGTTAATAATATCATGAAATGTACCAAGAACTTTTATTACAGTTTAGTACATTCACAAGAGAATTCTTGTCTCAGTTCTTTAATTTGTTTGTGTTAATTTTGACAGCTTCTACAGGATGTAATGTACAACATGTGAAAGGATTACGAGGATAATTATCATTATACAGGTATTTATTTTTATGCCCCACCATGAATATGGCCGGGGCATTTAGTGTTTGTCATGTCCGTCTTCCATCCTTCCGTCTGTCCTTCCGTCACATTTTGCATTTATCTCTGTTCAAAGCTAAGTTTCAAAGCTAAGTTTCAAAGATATTTTTATCAAACTTCATATGCTGATAGATATTGATGAGAGCTATGCAACTGCATCAACATTTTTGACCTTGACCTTTCCTTTGGCCTTGACCTTACTTATCTTAAATTAGTGTTTTGCTCAGTTTTAAAGATACCATTCGAGATATTTTTATCAAACTTCATTAACATTTTTGACCTTGACCTTTCCTTTGACCTTTGACCTCACTTTTCCTAAATCACTGTCAAATTCACATGCTGATACATAATGATATACTAGTAAGAAATTGAACTGCATCAGCAATTTTGACTTTGACCTTTTATTTGACCTTGACCTCACTTTTATAAAATTGTGTTTAAGTCAGTTTTTATTGAAGAGATCAATCTAGATATTTTTATCAAACTTCATATCTTGATACATATTAATGAGAGATATGCATCTGCATCAACAATTTGACCTTGATGTTTCCTTTGACCTTTGACCTCACTTTTCCTAAATCACTGTCAAACTTCATATGCTGATACATACTGATGTAAGCAATTCAACTGCATCAACAATTTTGACCTTTTATTTGACCTTGACCTCTCTTTATCAAATTGTGTTTTTAAAAGTCAGTTTTAAAGAAACAATTTATAATATTTTTTCAACTTCATATGCTGATACTTACTGATGAGAGCTGTTCAACTGAATCTACAGTTTTTAGCTCACCTGAGCTGAAAGCTCAAGTGAGCTTTTCTGATCACCCGTTGTCCGTCGTCCGTCTGTCTATCCGTCCGTCTGTCCGTCTGTAAACTTTTCACATTTTCAACTTCTTCTCAAGAACCACTGGACCAATTTTAACCAAACTTGATACAAAGCATCCTTAGGTGAAGGGGAATTTAAATTGTTAAAATCAAGGGCCAAGAACCCTTCCAAGGAGAGATAATCAAGAAAATACAAAAATAGGGTGGGTCATTAAAAAATCTTCTTCTCAAGAACCACTGGGCCAGAAAAGCTAAAACTTATATGAAAACATCCTGGGGTAGTGTAGATTCTAAATTGTTCAAGTCATGACCCTTGGAGGTAGGGCGGGCCACAATAGGGAATCCAAGTTTTACATAGAAATATATGGGAAAAAACTTTTAAAATCTTCTCAAGAACCACTGGGCCATAAAAGCTGAAACTTATGTGGAACATCCTTGGGTAGTGTAGATTCTAAATTGTTTAAGTCATGACCCCTGAGGGTAGGGCGGGGTCACAATAGGGAATCATAGTTTTACATAGAAATATATAGGGAAAAACTTTAAAAATCTTCTTCTCAAGAACCACTGGGCCAGAAAAGCTGAAACTTATGTGGAAGCATCCTGGGGTAGTGTAGATTATAAATTGTTCAAATCATGACCCCTTGGGGTAGGGGGGGGCCACAATAGGGAATCCAAGTTTTACATAGAAATATATAGGAAAAAACTTTAAAAATCTTCTTCTCAAGAAGCACTGGGCCAGAAAAGTTGAAACTTATGTGGAAGCATCCTTGGGTAGTGTAGATTCTAAATTGATCAAATCATGACCCCCGGGGTAGGGCAGGGCCACAATAGGGAATCCAAGTTTTACATAGAAATAGATAGGGAAAAAACTTTTAAAATCTTATTCTCAAGAAGCACTGGGCCAGAAAAGCTGAAACTTATGTGGAAGGATCTTGGGATAGTGTAGATTATAAATTGGCCAAATCATGATCTCTGGTGGTAGGGCGTAGTCACAATTTGTATTACAAAGGGGTGGGGGATATCTGTTAAAGAACAGCATGGCCAAAGTTTCTCAGGTGAGCGATGTGGAGCATGGGCCTCTTGTTTTACCTTGGCATTTCCTTTGATCTTGACCTCACTTTAATGAAATTAGTGTCAAACTTCATATGCTGATACATACTAATGTAAGCACTTCAACTGCATCACTATTCAAGATATTCTGATCAAATTTCATACATTTATACAAATTTTCATGTTGCTTTACTAATATACCCTCGGCGGGGCATTCATGTCCTCTGGACATATTTATAGTTACCTTTATATCTAACAGGTTTGTGACAATCGGAAAGTAAATTAAGAAATGTGTTACAGTTTTGAGAGTATCAGACAACTTTTATCAATGCATCATGAAACATTTCCATGAATAATCTAAATTAAACCATACTACATGTATAACATTAGTCTTTTAAGACATTGAAGCTATACAGAAATATTTACTCATTGTACTTAGTTTGTTTTGACAGGTCTCCCAGGATGTGCTGTTTAACTATGTAAAGCTAAATAGGCTGAAGAAATCACCATTTTAACAGGTTTCAAAAATATTTTAATTTTTAGCTCATCTAAGCCGAAGGCTCAAGTGAGCTTTTCTGATCACATTTTGTCCGGTGTCCATCTGTCTGTCTGTAAACTTTTCACATTTTTGACTTCTCAAGAACCGCTGGGCCAATTTCAACCAAACTTGCCACAAAGCATCCTTGGGTGACGGGGATTTAATTAAGTTATTTTAAATGAAGGGCCACACCCTCATTCAAGGAGAGATAATTTGGAATTAAGGAAAATTTGGTGGGATGTTTTACAAAATCTTCTTCTTAAGAACTATTGTGCCAGGAAAGATAAAACTTATGGGAAAACATCCTCAGGTAGTGTATATTCAAGTTTGTTCAAATCATGACCCCCGGAGGTAGGACGGGGCCAAAATGGCCGACCAACGTTTTACATAGAAATATATAGGAAAATTCTTTAAAAATCTTCTTCTCAAGAATAACAAAGCCATAATTCATCATATTTTTATGGAAGCATCGTCAGGTAGTGTAGATTCCATTTTCTTAAAGTCATGACCCCTGGGGGTAGGGAAGGGTCACAATGGTTGACCAAAGTTTTACATAGAATTATATAGGATTTTTTTTTAAAAATCTTCTCAAGAATAGCAAAGCCATAATTGATCATATTCATATGGAAACATCCACAGGTTGTGCAGATTCATGTTTGTTCAAATCATGACCCTCGGGGGCAGGGCGTGGCACAATGGCCGACCAAAGTTTTACATAGAAATTTATAGGAAAATTCTCATCTTCTCAAGAATAGCAAAGCCATGACTGGTCATGGGACTACTTTGGGATTTAAACTTTTCAATTATAATAAACCAATTTGTATTTTTTCCTAGCCATAGTACTCAGGTAAGCGATGTGGCTCATGGGCCTCTTGTTTAATATTACGGGTTGGTATTTTAAAGACTTGACAATTTCCATGAATAATCTAAAATATGTCATACAATGACATTAGTTTTCAAGACATTGAAGCTATACAGAAATATTTACTCATTGTACTGTGTTGATTTTGACAGGTCTCCCAGGATGTGCTGTTGAAGTATGTAAAGCTAAAGAAGTGGAAGAAGTCACCATTTTGACAGGTTTAACTAATGCCTAAATTTAGTTTTTTAGCTCACCTGAGCCGAACGCTCAAGTGAGCTTTTCTGATCACATTTTGTCTAGCGTACGTCTGTCTGTAAACTTTTCACATTTTCGACTTCTTCTGAAGAACCATGGGGCCAATTTCAACAAAACTTGATAAAAAGCATCCTTGGATGAAAAGTATTTGTTCAAATTTGTTCAAATGAAAGGCCAAGCCCTCTTCCAAGGGGAGATAATTATGAATTAGTGAAAAATTAATTGCATCTTTTAAAAATCTTCTTCTCCAAAACCATTGTGCCAGGAAAGATGAAACTCATTGTGAAACATCCTCATGTAGTGTAGACTCAAGTTTGTTCAAATGATGACCCCTAGGGTAGGGCGGGGCCACAATGGCTGATCAAAGTGAAAGCATCCTCAGGTACTGTAGATTCAAGTTTGTTCAAATCATGACCCCCAGGTGTAGGGCGAGGCCACAATTGACGATTAAAGTTTTACATCGGAATGAATACATTGGAGAATCAAATTTTTGAAAACTCTTCTTTTTAAGAACTATAAAGCCATGATTGGTCATATCTTTATGTAAGCATCCTTACGTAGTGTTGATTAAAGTTTGTTCAAGTCATGAATGTGAAGTAGGGGGTAGGTAGGGTGGGCCACTATTGGAATTTTTTTTCCCAAGAACAGAAAAGCAATGTTTAATCATATAAATATGGAGGCATCCTCAGGTAGTACAAAGTCATACTGGTTCAAATGAGGGCTACCACGGTTAGGGCTGGGCCACAATGGGAGGGGAGGGGGGTTCAAATGAATAAATAGGGAAAAAATCATCTCCTCAAAAACAGTAAAGGCATTTGTTGTATGGAAGCATCATTGGATATTTGGTAGATTAAAATTTCAGATTCCCCGTCTAAACTACTCAATACTGAAGTGATTTCTGCATTTATTTCCTAGCCATAGGTCTCAGGTGAGCGATGTGGCCCATAGGCCTCTTGTTTAATTTTACTGGTTGGTATTTTAAAGACTTGACAAAATTCAGGTCTACATTTCCATGAGTAATCTAAAATATATCATACAATAACATTAGTCTTTTAAGACATTGAAGCTATACAGAAATATTTACTCATTGTACTGAGTTTATTTTGACAGGTCTCCCAGGATGTGCTGTTTAACTATGTAAAGCTAAAGAAGAGGAAGAAATCACCATTTTAACAGGTTTGACTAATGCCTAAATCTAGTTTGTTTAGCTCACCTGAGCCAAAGGCCTAAGTGAACTTTTCTGATCACATGTTGTCCTGCGTCTGTCTGCCTGTAAACTTTTCACATTTTCGACTTCTTTTCAAAAACCACTGGGCCAATTTCAACCAAACTTGGCACACTGTATCCTTCGATGAAGGGGATTCAAATTTGTTCAAATGAAAGGCCAGGCTCTCTTCCAAGGGAAGATAATTATGAATTTCTTCTCCAAAACCATTGGGCGAAAAATTAATTGCATCTTTTAAAAATAGTAGGGGGTAGGTAGGGTGGGCCACAATTGGAAATCTATGAATATCAAGAATTTTTTTCCCCAAGAACAGAAAAGCAATGTTTAATCATATAAATATGGAGGTATCCTCAGGTAGAACAATGTCATACTGGTTCAAATGAGGGCTACCACGGTTAGGGCTGGGCCACAATGGGAAGGGGGGGGTCAAATGAATAAAGAGGGAAAACTTATCTCCTCAAAAACAGTAAAGGCATTTGTTGTATGGAAGCATCATTGGGTATTTGGTAGTTGAAAATTTCAGATCCCCCGTCTAAACTACTCAATACTGAAGTGATTTCTTCTTTTTAGGTCACCTGAGTAAACTCAGGTGACCTATTGCTATCTGTTTTTAACGTCCCCCGTCTAAACTACTCAATACTGAAGTGATTTCTTGTCGTTTGTCGTTTGTCGTGCGTTAACATTTGAACATTTTCAGCTTCTTCTCTGCAACCACTGAACCAATTTCAACCAAATTTGGCACAAAGCATCTATGGGTGAAGGGAAACAAAAATTGTGAATTTCATGATCCCTGCCCCCCTGGGGCCTGAGGTGTGGGGCCAAAACCACTAAAATTAATGCAATCTTTAAAAATCTTCTTCTTTACTCCTGGACATCAAGCAGTCAAACTGTTTGCATGATTGTAATCAGCAATGAGTCCTCTACCAAAATTGTGAAATTCATGGCCCTGGGGTAAGGGGTTCTAGTGCTAGGGCGGGGCTAAATAAGTAGGTAGTGAAAATTCATTATTTCTTTGAAAATCTTCTTCTCTGCTCCTGGGCATTAAATAAACCAAATAAGTACATAGTTATGATGAGCAAGAGTGCCTCTACCAAAATTGTGAATTTTATGGCCCCAGGGTCAGGGGTTCTGGTGTTAGGGCGGGGCTCTATTGATTATATAGTGAAAATACATGAATTCTTTGAAAATCTTCTTCTCTGCTCCTGGGTATTATATAAACTAACTAAGTACATAGTTATGATAAGCAAGAGTGCCTCTACCAAAATTGTGAATTTTATGGCCCCAGGGTCAGGGGTTCTTGTTTTAGGGTGGGGCTCTTATGATTATACAGTGTATAGTGAAATGCATGAATTCTTTGAACATCTTATCCTTTGCTCCTGGTAAATATGCTAATGATCTAATTACATATTTAAGGCCAGGATTTATTTTATTTTCAGTTTTACAAACCCTCTGCTCAAGGTTTTGAATTTTTAGAAAACAAAAAAAAAATTTTCTTTCCGATGTCAAATTTGAGTCAGGATCGAGATTTCAAATTTACGAACTCGTACTTCCGGTTTTACGATAAAAGGAATGTAAATAAAGCGCTAGCTTGGTTTAGTGTAAAATTCATCGATAAGAGTGCCATTCAAAACGTTTCACCCGTTCAAAGGACAAATAAAATGCTGACGACTTTGTTGCACAATGACATGCTGGTGAGATAATTATGTATTCGTTTCAAAAGTAACTGTAAATTATTTTCCTCTCCCAGGTTTTAAACTGCCCGTGGTAGTTATTGCATATTGCCAGGGACATTGTTTAGGTCTCTGTTATAGCTTACAGTCTAAGCATCATTCTTCAGAAAAGGGGTTGCTTATGCATCAGATGTAATGAATAAAACTATGGGAGAAGCGAAGTCCATTTGAGGAAGAAATAAACAATAACCTGAAGAAATAAAAAAAAATTCAATTATTAAAAGGCAAGAATATACAAATATATACAGGCATGTAGTATCATTTGTATCAGCCAGAAAAATTATTTTACACTTAATTGAAAAAATTGTTGACCCTACTCCCCAATACTCCCTGTCTGTTTTATGATAGGAATTATAATTTTAGGCATCAAGTAAATTTAAGAATTGATTTTTAGGTCACCTGAGTAACTCAGGTGACCTATTGCTATCCGTTTCTGTCCGTCGTCGTCCGTCGTGCGTCGTGTGTCGTGTGTTAACATTTGAACATTTTCAGCTTCTTCTCTGAAACTACGCTTCCAATTTTAGCCAGTTTTGGCACAAAGCATCTATGGGTGAAGGGGAACAAAAATTGTGAATTTCATGGCCCCTGCCCCCCTGGGGCCTGAGGGGTGGGGCCAAAACCACTAAAATTAATGCAATCTTTAAAAATCTTCTTCTTTACTCCTGGACATGAAGCAGTCAAACTGTTGGCATAATTTTAATCAGCATAGGGCCCTTTACCAAAATTGTGAAATTCATGGCCCCAGGGTCAGGGGTTCTTGAGTTAGGGCCGGGCTTTGTTGATCATATAGTGAAAATGTAAAATTATTTAGAAATCTTCTTCTTTCCCCCTGTAAATAAAACAGATAAACTAGGTGTATGGTAATGATGACCAAGGGTGCATCTTTCAAAATTGTGAAATTTGTAGCCCCAGGGTGAAGGGTTTTGGGGTGGGAGTTAATTTAATGTCTATTGATTATTTAGGGAAAGTGCGTTACTATAGATAACTCTTTTACTTCTGAAAATTATAGGCAGTCAAACACTTTGCATGAGTATGATTAAGGAATATGCACTAAAATGTCTGTAATAATGTTTTTAAACAACGTATGGAATTCAATCATGCACCCGAGAGAGATTTTTCAACCGATTTTAGTATTCCGGAAATATAGTTGCGATGCCGATACATTTTGTGATTTAGAATATTTCACGCATGCGTATACTTGTTATCGGCCATTCAGCGTCTTCCGGCAACTCAGAAGAGTCTTCGGAGAAAGCCAAGCGACATTATACCATTTATACGATTTATTTTGTGTTTTTCTTAAGTTTAACAGTTTGTATTGCGAACGGTGGGTATGATTATTTGTAGTTATTAAGTTTAAACAGCATGGAATGTGAAGTGCTTTTGTGAATTCGATTTCTCGGTAATCGTTTTTGAGGTGACATAATTTTAGACTGATAAAGGTTGCCGATTCGAGCAATTTATATATGTAACAATAAATTATTTTTACTGGGTATTTAATATGTTGTTTTTGTATTTATGTAGAAAATGTGCCTGAACTTGAAACGTGATGAAATATTTCGTCATTTACAATCATTCGAACGGTACCTAGTGTCGTGAAAATGGCACTTACTGAAAGTGAAAACGGCACTTAGGGGACGACCATTTGATCCTGAGGGGGGGGGGGGCTGGCAAATTTTTTTGAGACGGATTATTTATTTTCATGCCTGTCGAGGACAGATTATTTATTTTCAAGATTATCAAGGACAGATTATTTATTTTCTTCTATGTCTTCCCGTACCGTGATCAATTGATTTTTAAAAGACTAATCATTTATATACCATAGGCAGATATAGGTTTGGGGAGGGGCATGTATAACTTCGTTTAGGCAAGAGGTCTGGGGCCGCCGTAAGACCCCATGTCCTGGGGGAAGCCCTGGTGGAGGTTAAGGGAGTAACGTCCCTCCCTCCCGAAGCTCTTGGGTTGCATTTTAAGAGTAAAACCAGGCACTATTATAGTGGTATTGGTTATTATGAACCAAAGTATGACATAATTAATACTGGTCATACCATACTTTGAATGAAGGGGGTTCAGGGGGCGAAGCCCCCTGAAGCTCTTGGGTTTTTCTGTATGTAAAAGAGTAAAACCAGACACAATTGTGTAGGAATTGGTTAGATATGTACCAAAGTATGACATTATTAATACTAGTCATATCTTACTTGGAATGAAAAGAGCCCAGGGGGCAAAGCCTCCTGGGAGCTCTTGGGTTTTTGTGTATTTTAAGACTAAAACTAGGCACAAAAATATTAATTGGTATTATCCCAAAGTATGTCATTATTATTATTACTCGTATCATACTTTGAAATTTTAGGGGAGGGGTTATACACATGTACGTCCAACTTAAATCCACCAGTGTATATTTTGTATAATTTATCGGGGAAGTGTAAAATTTATCTTTTGTGGTGTATAGGAATTGGCTTATATTTAAAGTACTGTTATTCATCACACCTACTAAGTGCACATTAATTCATGTTGACAAACTGACTTAAGTATCCAGTCTAGTAATCTGATTTTAAATACTATTTGGTTTTAAAATGGCGAGCGAAGCGAGCGAAAAAATTTTTTGAATTGAAGACTTCTGAGATTAAATTACACGTAAATAAAAAAGGTATTTTTCACAATATTTAAATATCATAATTCAAGGTCAGATTATTTATTTTCTCTGTAGTGGAGGAAAGATTATTTATTTTCAATATTTTCAGGGACAGATTATTTATTTCCAAAATCTGCCAGGCCCCCCCTCAGAATCAAATGGTCGTCCCCTTAGTATATGCAAAACGGCACTTTTTGTGACTTGTACGTGTATTAATATTCTCTCTGTAAGCACTGCATTGTAGCTGTGTAATAGGAATGATTCAGAGTAAAACAAGACTTACCATTTAATCCCCATTAACTGCCCCTGCCTCTATAACTATAAGCAAGTCTGGTACAATCACTAGATTTAGCTATGTAGCTTGATTTATCTATTTAGCTTTATTTATATACCTGAGGTAGCTTTATTTAGCTACCAAATCAGTTTATTTTTATAAAAAAGCCCTCTTCTCAGGGATTGCAGAAAATATAATTTTGATGCAGTGTCAGCAGTGATCATTTTCAACTTTGAACATGAAAAAATCACTCTTGAAGAAGTATCTTTTTCTGCGCAATTGCAATCAAAGTTCTGAAAGTTTTGGAGCTATGTATGA